AGAGAGAGAGAGAGAGAGAGAGAAGAAAAAAAAAGAAATATTCCTTGCTGCCTTTTTTTGGATTAAAAAATACCAGGGCTGTCTGTCAAGGTGGTCCTTAACTTATTTTGAACACTGCAATTATCTTCGTTATTCATGTGTATACTTTCCAACTGTTTTCTTATTTTTAAACTTAAACAGACAGGCATCGGCAGGCCCACTATGGGATTTGTAAAGTAGTGTTTCTGATTTGTGACGCGCGCTGACAAAATGAGTTACTTCTCGAAATTCCACAAACGAAGATATTAACCAAAAATCGGCACTAGGGTCATATTAACTATTACATTCCTTTTACTTTTTATACTTATAAATATCAACATCTTCATCGATACGCATGATGTATCTATTTCCATTAGGTTTGAATCCGAGAAGTATCTCATTTTGTCAGCTTGCTTTTATGCCGAGTTGAAGTGTGTGGTAACATTGCCTTTATTGGCTTTCCGTTGGTCGGAGACGTTTGTTTGCCCACTCCCACCTTAAAAAAGTTATATACGCTTTTAAAGAAAAGAGAAGTCAAGACTATATTATTCTCTCCTCAAATAACTTGAATAATATGGCTCTGAAATGTCACTCCTACGTAAAAGCTGTGTTGAGTTCCCGTCAAAGAGTGAGGATAATAGCTCACTAAGAGCTGGTTTTTGTCATAAATATCCCCAACCAGTGTCAAATTCTAATGGTCAAGGGAATGTCAAGAATATTATCCTAAAGGAATTGGGTCCTTTTTTTCTTTCATCTAGTTTTCTGGAGGGCTGTAAACGTGGGCTTGTGGCGTAGGCGGCCTAGTGGTTAGGCTACCGGACCCGTAGACGTGAGATTGCTGGTTCGGGGGTTCGAGCCTCATCTCGGTCCGACGTCGAGTCCTTGGGATGGGCACTTTTCACGAATTTCCCACTTGGCTCAGTCCTTTCGGAGATGGACGTTATACTAGGAGGTCCTGCCGCTAAGATAAACAGCTAGTGTTAAAAGGGGCATAAAACCTATACAACTTCACCATATCATCTTTTTCGCGAATGTGATAAAAAAAACTAGAGAGACATTCGTTGTAATTTGCGCAATAACTGCTGGATATAGTAGATAATATAATCTGGGACATATACACTGCTCTGAGAGAGA